TAGGGAACTAAAAATGTGTTCCACTTTAGCTGTGAGATAGGAGGAGGTAGCATTTAGGAATAAGACCTGAGAAGACAAGAATGGCTGAAACGACTAAGATCAGAAGTCCATCTAGCTCAGTATCTTCTCTGTTGCTCACACTGGATGCCTACAGAAGTGCATAAGGACAGGAGAAGTATGGAGATCTACTTCCCTGTGATCGATTGCACACCTTCTTGTCGCTAACACATTTGCTTCCATTTATCTCATTTGCTAACATTCATATGAGAAATGCAGAATAATCACTGGTAGCTGTTATCGTGTCTCAGAATAAGTTGATTTTGAAGGACCCGCACCAAGTTTTTGGATATAATGATGATAGTTATCACAAAACAGACATAAAAACATAATTGAGAAAAAAAAATAATTGGGAAAATAAAATAGGACAGAGGTTTGAAGGAGAAAGAAAAGAAGGTTTTAGAAACTCTGTAACAGATAAAAACATGCAAACATACAAAACCAACAATTCAAAGACCTGTAGCAGACTTATTTTGAAACAACAGTATAAATATAATGGAATTGTAACATTTTTAAAACAGGATACATACCAGCTTGAGACAGACCAAGCATCTTTTGAAGTGCCATATCTGTAGCTTCTGAAAAAGTAGAAAAATCAACATCTATTATTAAGCAGGACCTAAATTATCTTCAAATCCTCTGTAAACTGACAAAAAAATGTCTATAGCAAAAAGCGGTGGAAGCAAATCATGAGGCCTGCCTGGGATTTCTAAGTCTGTTGAGCAAGAGAATAGAAATAGTCTCTGCAATAGAGACTAGTAATGAAAATATTGATACTATACATTGTAAGAATAAAACATGCTTTTTTATTATAAGAATACAAGCTGACTTTTACCTTAAATTCAGCACTCTACAGGAAACTAGTATAAGGCCTTTGAAATTTATGTATTTCATCTATAACTTCAGAATAGGCAGAAATATCATGAGATGCTATAAAAGAAATAAATTTCAGCTTATAATGAGAGGAAAATATTTTTTTTTAACACAAATCTGAGATTTCTGCACCACATTTCATGGAAAATTTGCAATTTCATCAGAAGACCAAGAACTAGAAGAGCAAACTACATTGACATTAACATCCTGAAAACGGAAAAGATAAATCAGTTTAGGATTTTAACCAAAAGTTTAAATGTTCCATAGGAATTTCCTCCAGCTATTTCTGATGAAGGTGCTTTTGTCTTAAATAATTATAAATAGGATAACCTGACAGGCTGGGCTAAATTCTACAACATGTAACAGGAAGGCCAACTGTCCTTCCCAGGCAGATGCATTGCAAAGTGAATATGCTCCTAATTTTAACTATTAAGGCAAAGTGTGGGATCATTCCCATGCAGGTTATTACTATACTACATGGCTGGTACAAGAAAGTTAAGAAAATGTTTAAACATATAGCTACCAGTGCAAGCCCCTGACAAAATCTCCATTTTCAGGGACAGACTCTGCATTAAGTCCCACTAGAGAGTGGGACAGGTATTTCCTACAGAGATGAGATGGGAAAAGTAGAGTAGTGAAAAGTAGAGTATTGAAGACTTGGAAACAGGTCATCTGAAAGGAAGGAAGCTGTATGGTTGAGAGGAAGAAAGTAATGAATATTTGTGAGAGATAACCAGATGATATAGTTCAGTTGGAGACATGAAAACACTCCTGGCCTTACAGTCAAATGCTCTGAATAAAAGTAGTTAAAATACAAAATCTATTTCAAGTAATTCTTGGCTCTATAATTGTCACAAAGAAAACAAAACAAAACAAAACAAAACAAAACAAACCAGCACATTTTGTCATCATTTAAGGAGTAGAATGAGGTCAGATTTCTGACAGAGTTCTAGATAAAAGAAGTACATTTTAAGGAACTAGAGTGGTAACGGAAATTCTTTAAAAATAAAATTTCTTTTGCTACTATACTCTGAAGGTGACCAAAATACAGATGTCCCAAATAATGGGGTTTTATGCATTGATGAGGCAAACAGTTATGTGGGCATAAAGTGCTATGACCAGCAAATAAATGCTTCCTATATTATCAGAGGGGTGCTGAAGAAGCACTTTAGCTTTGGGGATTCTTACAAACTAACCATCTTCATGGTAGGGTAAGATGCATGTCAGTAAAATTGTTTTCTGGCTTGGAATCTTTTTTGAAAGAGAATTTTCTAAAGCTGAGCAGTTTTTTGCTTTAAATTTCAAGTGAAAGTGTCTTTTTGCAATGGCTTCTATTTGGCCACACTCTTTTCAATCTCTTTTTGAGGTAAAAGAAATGGTAAAATCTAGCAACTAACTTGTCTGTGAGTGCTTTTTCCTTCATTCTGTTTTGTAAATGGCTAGAAAAGTTAAATATAAAAGGAAAGGTCATCAGTTAAAATTAAAAATCAGGAATGTTTGTTTGGCCATGTTGTCATTCCCACTGCCACTCATCAGCCACAGAAGTTCACAGAATTAAATAAACAGATTAAAATCTAATTCCTTTAAGAGAGACCTACAGCAGAAGAATACTAGGTGCCTGTATTTTGAGTTATCGTCCAAGTCAACAAAGCAATAGACCTGACAGTTACACTACACCTTGGTCTCACATATGGCCTGTAAATGGCTTCCACAGAATTCCCCCAACCCACAGCTACCCACAGCTACAACACGATCTCATCAAGTCTGGCTTACTCAGGTTTTCTAGGTTGTATCTGAGAAAGGCAGATACAAAAGAAACGTGAAAAAACCATGAAGTGTGTTAAGAAGTGGAATCATGGGTTTATAAGCTAAGGCTTCTGGTTGCCTATTTTATGAAATTGTTATGAAGTTGTTGGCCGGATAACTGCTTAATTCAGTCCTATACAAGAAGTTAGAATTAAGTTATAAGAGGTTTAATTTAAAGTGACTTCTTTGATCACTTCAAGGATATTCAGAGCTAGGAAACTACTTCTAGAAACCACACAGATGTGATCTTAAACTCATGTCTAATCAGAAGCATGTTTTAACTTAAAAATATGTGCTTAACATGCCCTGACAAGTTGAGCTCCTGATTGCTGCATGATAAGACATAGTGCCTTGTATTATAGCTCCCCCAAAAGATGTCAAACACCTTAGAGAAACAAAGATAAACAGAATTCCAGATAAGGCAGCTTGCAAGATACATCATTAACATGATGTCTCAAGGGAAAATGAGAAATATTCCTCATCAGTCTTCAAAACAAATAATATTTTTGACTTGTGTTCACTGTACTTTTCTTATTTTAAGCAAAGTTCTTAATATTGGATGTGCAAAATATATGTTGAAGTCCTGAACAAATTCAGGGAATACAGAGCCTAATCCATTAAATTAAATGAGACAGAAACATTATATATTTCATACACATAGCCTAAGAGATCAAGCTTTACTCCATTCCATGTCAGGGAGTTATAACAACGTGGAGGATGACCTGTAATTCTTGACTGCTTTCAACATTGATTCTAAATTATGTTGAGAGAAGTCCATAAATACAAATCATGACAGAAATAATTGCGTAGATGTTATGGTTTAATACCACTGTGAGCCTGATGTTAACATTTGTCCAGTAGTGTTAGCTGAAATGCATGGCAAGCAGAACTGCTTTGTCCTTAAAAATCATCTTCTTTAGGACTGTTTAATTATGATATTGATGAGACTCAAAAATTCTCACAGGTGTGGTATGATTTGTGTTGGCGACGTGTTTTTTTTCCTGTTCCATAAAAATCCATCTGAATTAAGACAACATTACAAGCCCCTGCAATTTTTCACCCATCCTCAATCCATTATCATACTCTAGCTTCTGAAGCTGGAGGATGCTGGGCAAGGGGACGTGCTCTGTTCTTTCCCAGCTTCTTCCCAGGCACAGGCGTGTACTCTTCCACCAGCGTGTGCTGTGAACAAGCTCTGCAGGGGCAAACCAGGACTTGCCCTGTAACTGCATCTTTGGACCAGGCTGAGCACTAGCAGTGTGAGAACAGTCTTTTCCCTGCTCTTTCAGATCAAATTTTCTTCTGTCGCTACCTGAAGAGCGCTGAAGCTTCGTGGGACAAGTAGCTGCTTGAGTGGAACACATGCACAAGAAGGGCTGAATTTGGGAAGAAAGAGTAACAGAGACTGCTATGCAGGACTCCAGGTGAGGTGTAAGAAGGAAACTGCAATTGGAAATTAGAAGAGATGAAGATGGTGGGAAATAAGATTTGGAGCTGGAGGTCATTGGAGATGGAAGGTGGTTGCACAGATATTGTCTCTGAATGCCAGTGTGCTCAGTGGAGTTGGGGGAAGAGGTACCAGAAAGATATTTCACCAGGATTTGAGAAGAGAGGATTGGAACCTATTTTGGCAAGAAAATAAAAGGAAGGCTAAGATTCATAAGAGAATCTGGACTAATCTTGTGAGATTTTGAATGAGGGCAAGAATAGAAGCTAAAGACAATGGAGAAGAAAGACTGGCTTTTGTAAGAAAAGGGGGAGACAGCAAGCTTGAGGGATCAAGGGGGAAGGATCAATGTCTTCTTCTTACTCCCTAACTCACAGGACTACAGTATAGGATTTCACCTGGACTCTTAATGCTTCCCTGCTGCAGCAAATACTCATGAAATTCTCTAGTGAAGCAGGAAGATAGTAACCTGCTATTGTCATCAGCTGAGCAGTTAACTCAAATGGTGGAGATGCAAGTGACAGATTGAAGGTTTTTTTCTTTATATTTGGCTTTTTCCAAATGTTATTTTTGTTAACTAAGGAATCTGAAAGCAAGCCATGGCGAAGCTTCTTCCAGGAGAATGCTGAAGCACTCCACAGACAGAAAAAATCCTAAATCAAAACATAGTTACATCCCTGCCCTCCTCTTTGGGTGTATATTTTAACATTTTCCTCTGAAGGACACTATTTTTTTTCTGAACATGGAATAAATCTTGCTCTAATGGCGAACTGGGACTGTTCAGTAGCTGAGACTGTCATTTGCAGAAACCCCACTGCATCTGTTGCAGAAGTTATAAACTGTCTACGGAATAAGGAAGAGAGAGGATGCTCTCAAAATTAAAGCGGCTGAATGTTACCCTGGAGAAGTGGGTTCTGACCCTGTCTCTACCACAGAGTTCCCAAATGATGCTAGGCAAGTCCCTTTGAATGAACTTTCACAGGTGGCAACTTACTGTATGTTCCTCATCCTCATTTTTGGGATTTCTGACTTGAGACCCTGCTGGGTCAGATTCCCAGAAATGCTGAGCAGTACCAGCTGCAGCTGTAGTCACTGAGCACTGGTCTAAGCCCACAAACTGCCCACAAATGCTGAACTCTCTGAAATAGGAGTTCTTTGGTATCTTAGATCAAATACAGAAAAGTAGTGGGTGTTCTTTAATTTAATCTCTTTGTGTCTTCACCTGTAAAGTGGGGGTAAAAAAACTGTCTTCACATGACAATGCTCATATGAATATAAATGTCTTCATGCTTATATAGAATTCATACGTTGCAATGGAGGAAGAATTAAAAAATCCATAACGAGGTTAGTGATTCTCTCTTGAAAGCAGCATCTGACTGTGTACTAAGGCTTGGCAATGTAATCAGTATTGAAATCCCACTGGCTAATTAGTCACTAAAAGAGCACTATCCCATACATAATATGGGATATTGTAATCTTAATATCCTTTTAAAGGAGTATTCACGATGTGCACAGACAGGAGGGATATGTTTTTACTAGTTCCATACTTTAGAATATTGTCTCATCTTCAGTTGTACTCAACAGCCTTCTTGCCTCAGTCTTCACTGGCAATCTCTCTCCTCACACCTCCTGAGACGATTGACCATAAGATGGGGACCAAGAGGGTAAAGTCCCTCCCATGGTAAGAAAAGATCAGATCTGTGACCACCTGAGGAACCGGGACATACATAAGTCTATGGGACCTGATGAGATACATCCCAGAGTCCTGAGGGCAACCAAGCCACTCCCCGTGGTATTTGGAAAGTCCTGTCAGTCAGGTGACATCCCTGGTGACTGGCAAAAGGGAAACATTGCACCCATTTTCAAAAAGAGTAGAAAGGAGGACCCTGGGAACTACCAACCTGTCAGCCTCACCTCTGTGCCTGGGAAGATCAAGGAACTGACCCTCCCAGAAGCTATGCTAAGGCACATGGAGGAAAAGGATGTGATTTGAGACAGCCAGCACAGCTTCACCAAGGGCAAGTCCTGCCTGACCAACCTAGCAGCCTTCTATGGTGGAGTGACTACATCAGTGGAAAAGGGAAGAACTATGGATCTCATCTATCTGAACTGCTGTAAAGCCTTTGACAGGGTCACCCACAGCACCCTTCTCTCTAAATTGGAGAGATACAGATTTGATGGATGGACTGTTCAGTGGATAAGGAATTGTTTGGATGATAACATCCAGAGTATAGTCATCAATGACTCAATGTCCAGATGGACACTGGTGACAACTGATGTCCCTCAGGAGACTGTACTAGGAGGAGTGCTGTTTAATATCTTCATCAATGACATAAAGGGATTGAGTGCACTCTCAGCAAGTTTGCAGATGACACCAAGCTGAGTGGTGCAGTTGATATACCAGAGTTACAGGATGCCATCCAGAGGGACCTGGACAAATCTGAGAAGTGGGCCTGTGTGAAACCCTCATGAGGTTCAACAAGGCCAAGTGCCAGGTCCTGCACTGGGGTCAGGGTAATACCCAGTATCAATATAGGCTGGATTGAGAGAAGCCCTGCAGAGAAGGACTCGGGGATACTGGTGCAGGAAAAGCTGGACATGAGCCGACACTGTGTGATAGCAGCCCAGAGGGCCAATTGTATCCTGGGCTGCATCAAAAGTAGCGTGGCCAGCAGGTCAAGGGAGGTGATTCTGCCCCTCTACTCTGCTCTGATGAAACCCCACCTGGAGTACTGTGTCCAGCTCCGGAGCCCTCAGCACAGGAAAGACATGGACTGGTTGGGGTGGGTCCAGAGGATGACCACAAAAGTTAGCAAAGACAGTCTGAGGGAGCTGGGGTTGTTCAGCCTGGAGGAGAAGGCTCCAGGGAAACGTTATTGTGGACTTTCAGTACTTAAAAGGGGCTTGTAAGAAAGATGGGGACAGACTTTTTAGTAGGGCCTGTTGCCACAGGACAAGAGGTAATGGTTTTAAACTGAAAGTAGATTTAGACTAGATATAAGGAAGAATTTTTTAGAGTGAAGGTGGTGAAACACTGGCACAGGTTGCCCAGAGAGGTGGTAGAAGCCCCACCCCTGACAAATTTTAGGTCAAGTTGGACAGGGTTCTGGGCAACCTGATCTAGTTGAAGATGTCCCTGCTCACTGCTGGGAGGTTGGACGACATGACTGTTAAAGTCCCTTCCAACCCAAAGCATTCTATCATTCTAGGATTCTTTTTGTTAAAAACTTATTGACTTCCAAAGAAACTTTTTGATCCTTAACAGAAGGTGCTTTAACACCAATTACAATTTTTCTCCAAAATGTTTTGAAGACTTTTGACTAAGATAGAGATATTCCTATAAAAAAAAATTACAAAAATATAGCTACTTAAAAATTCCTTGCCCTCAATTCTCAGATTCTCAGTGTTCATCTCTATTTTAAAAATTACCAAAACAACACGCAGATTGATTACAGGCACATAACACATATGATGTATTTCAGAAATTTGTGGGAAGGGGAATCTCTTGGGAGCATTTACAGGTCTGAGATGACAAAGATATTGCTAATGCTCCACTTGGAAAAGCGTTTGGGCTGAGCTTGTGGATAAATTTCCAAGCAACCTCAGCCTCAGCAGCACCACATGAGAAATTAGGATTACTAAATGGTTTCTGTCTTTGTAAAGACTCCAGCTAGTTATGAAATACAGCTAGAGGTTGAGGTCCCCCTGTGGCTAAGAAGCCAGAGCTTTGTCACATCTGCTTTCCTCATTTCACAGTTTCTTTCATTTTCTACCTGTCCATGCTCTTATAGCACAGATATGACATGAAGATCTTTGTATGTGTAGTGCAAAAATAATCTGTTTATATGCTAGTGAGGAAAGAGAGACATCATTTTTTTGGTTTTTTTTATAAGCAAAATTAAAAGCAGAAAAGGAACATGGGTATATTTTCCCCAGAGCACTGTTTCAAAGTAATCATAGTGTCAGTTATTCAATACTATTTACGTACAGTTAAATATTAAGCACCAGTGATAATAAGTCCCACAAGTGGCCTCTTAGAGTTCTTTCTTTGCTATTTCAGAGTACAAAGACTAATGAAAAAAAAAATTTGCTTGTAAAAATGACATAGATTAGTAATAATTTGGAAACAGAAAGGTACCAAATGAAAGGAAAATAAGCTGGAAAAAATGTCATCAGCTTTGATTAAAATCATCTCTTTTGCAAGTATGGAATTCCCATGAGAATGCAAGGAAACTATTATAAATCTTCTTTTAGAAGACTTATATGATTCAGCATAATGTTCACTACAAATAAGTTCCTCTTTTTTTAATAGAACTTGAAACTTGCTAACATACAGTAGCACCATTCTCGCAGAAAAAAAGCAGTATTTCCACATCCTATATTTCAGCAGCCATACTAGCTTTATTTTAAGATTCTTTTTAAGAAGTAAATGCAATCATTACACATAGAATGCATAGAATGTTGTTTTTTTTAAAAAATATTTTTACTATAAAATTTTAATAAATCATTGTTTTTATAAAATATACGGAACTTATTTTCATACAGAATTTTTAAGGTTCTACACAGGTAGTTAGGCCTTGCACTGCATAGGTAGATTGCCCTTGTGTGGCAAAAGGGGGTACAATGCTAACAGCAGTTCATCTGATAAATATGCTTGTTCTATGTCATTGTAGAACTTCTGCCTTGCACAGATCAATCACAGATAATCTAGATTAGCCAGCCTATCTCACTAGTCGGAATCAGTACCTAGGAAAAAAGCCTCTCCCGCGGGTCATATTACAAAAGAACTGAAGATGCAGCTCACTTCTTTGAAATTAGGCTTTTTCATAGAATCATAGAATCCTTT